AACGAGCTGACTTTAAAAACTAAAAACGGGCTTTTCACCCGTTTTCATTTTCCCCTGGATACTTTCGAAAATAGCGGTGCGGTCAGGAGGAGTACTCTCATTTCCAGGTAAAATGCCTTCTCCCCTTCGGTGCAGGGGAGGCAATGACCGCACACCCGCTTGTGATTTTGTGCAACAGGAAGTGAAAATTCAGAAAGGCTCGCGGTCTTTGGAGCGGACGCCCCCCCACCCCACACCATCCTCATCGCGCATGCGTGCATCCCCACGTAACCCGCCCCTTGCCTACCCGCAGGCTGCGACCTGTCGTGGCTGCTTCGTTGGGCGAGAACAGAGCGTGGCTTCCACGGCTTAATGACTTTGTATTGCTGCTTGGCCCAGCTCGTCTGCGACTGCGAGTGATTCATCTCGCACGTTTCCCTTCCAGCGTACCGTTTGCGTCGTGAGGACCACTCAGGTCCTTGTTAACTTGCTAACCGTGCGTAGAGCTCCAGATTGGCTCAGATCTTTCCGTCATCGGAAACCTGCACAGGAGAAGGCCCTTGTTCTTACACGTCCCCAGTAATCGGCATCTGCTTTGGGTCTATTTCAGGCACGAGTGTCTGGGTCTGACCTCAGGGCGATGAGCTGAGAGCCATCAATTTCCTTTTCCAGCTCCTAGGTATCAGCCCCCAAATCCTGCAGACAGTCGGACTCTGATTATCTTGAGAAAGTCCCAGTTTGTTTTACACAACAACAGCTGGCATACAAATGGAATCAAGCACTTTTAAGTAGTCATTAATCATACTGATGAGAACAGCTGAACCAAACAGTGTTCTCTCTAAGTACTTACACATCTGACATACAAATCAAGTGATCGTCCAATTAGTTATTTATAGGTTCCTTTCTTTGAAAAATCTTAATGTCTGTCTTTCCTTTTTGATATTCCATAGTCTTTACTTTTAGAGGAAAAAAAAAAAAAACCTTGAAAAACCCAGACGAATGCATTTATATCTATATTATCAAGTCATTTATCTGCTAAATCACTGAGCGATTTCGTTTGTTGACTTTCCAGAAGAAAAAAAAAAACCTTTAATCTCTTTTAACTTTTTTATTTATTTTTTATTTATTTTTTTTAAATTTTTTTTTTAAACGTTTATTTATTTTTGAGACAGAGAGAGACAGAGCATGAGCAGGGGAGGGTCAGAGAGAGAGGGAGACACAGAATCCGAAACAGGCTCCAGGCTCTGAGCCGTCAGCCCAGAGCCTGACGCGGGGCTCGAACTCACAGACCGTGAGATCATGACCTGAGCCGAAGTCAGACACTCAACCGACGGAGCCACCCAGGCGCCCCTCTTTTAACTTTTTTAATACGCGTAAGAGAGAAATGCAGAAAGAGAGGTACATAGGATAGACGCTTACAGAACAGAAAGCTTGACTTGTATCCCTTCTATGCAATTATTTATTCCTTTAAGAATTAGGATGAGAGAGAAAACTTGGCTGAATGAGATGAGATTGTCCTTATGCAGTTTGAATTTTCCCTGGCTAAGTAGGACAATCATAAAATAAAACGTAAAAAGGTGGCTCAGAATTGCCAGAGAGGGACATCAGTGCCCCACTCAGAGGTAATAATATGGAACCCACCCTAGCAGGCTTTAGGGATTAGCACAAAATTTAGCATCAGGAAAGCCCTCTCCATGCCCGGGAGCCATGATTACTAGCTACGTAGACATTACTGGTGAGTTAAAAACATTTATGGGATAACTCAAACGCTCCCTTCTTGCTCATGTTCTTTACTAAATGAGTGCCCTGGGACTCAGGATTGCCATGTGGCGCCATTCAGAGAATATGCTCACAGATATGAAATCCCATAGAAAGCAAATGGAGAAATGAGGAAGGCTTTGGTATATCTCTTAAATCCTAGCCATCCGATTCCTTTTAGGCTTAGTCTGGGGTTCATCGTTCCATTATTGACAGAGTCCCGAAGGCCTGGGCTCTCTATCCCCTCATCTGGGGGATGGCGTCTGGCTGGGAACATAGTCCAGAGCCGTAAAGTAAATCACTCCAGGGAAGAAACCAAATCTTGCCTTAGCTTGTCGCTGGCCGAGCCTCAGAGCCCGGGAGAGGACCCTCGGAGAGTAGCCTCCCCCACGACATGTTCTGTTACCATTTTTCACGTACAGTTGGCATCTCTGTCGGAGACACCATGTAAAAAGGACCCAAGAGCCCACAGAGGTCAGCTACGAACTAGGAAATTCCACAGAGAAGGTCAGAGTGGATCTTTAGCAAGTGTTCCAAAGTGTTCCCTCAGCTCAGGTTTCAATGTCAAGGGTTAAGTGTGGCTATGAAGACATTAATCCAAGCAGAGATTTGCAAGTTACCGTTCTGCAAAGTTAAAGAGAAACAAGAACGGAACTTTTTTTGTTAAGTATGCTCTACAGTTAACATGGGGCTTGAACTCACGCCCCCCCCCCCCACCCCCAGAGGTCATGAGTTGCAAACTTTACTGACGGAACCCTCCAGGCTCCCCCAAACTTTTTTTTTTTTTTAATGAATGGATTCATTTCCGTAAGGAGACAATTTAAAAAATGTAAGAAATAAGTTGTCTAAGAAATTTGTCACCCACGCTACGCTGAATGCCTAGGTTGCAAGGTGCCATCGGCTTTAACATTTTGTTATTGTTTGCTGATGGCAGGGTTCACGGCAACTTGGCACACTGAAAATTTTTAGCGGACGGAATTTGAGTAACGGCAGGTGCGGGAAGGTCTCCCCGACCTCCCCGGTGGCCCCCAAAACAGGTCATGAGACCCTCACATGAGAGGGGCCCTCCCTATACCCAGAGGAAAGGAACAGCCTCATCTCCAAAGACTGAACAGGGTGCTGAGAGGAATTCAAACAAAGAGGACTCGCTAAGTTTCCTCCAAGTTTACTGCAATTAGCTTGTATCCTTTTGTCCTATCGTGTTCTCCCACAACTTTCCACCATCTTCCTAAGCCTAGTGTAAAAACACGCAGGGTTCACCTTTCTCGGGTCTTCTTTTTCTTATGCAAGCTCCCGTGTCATGTAAAGCTTATGTTAAATACATTTGTGTCCTTTTGTCTGGTGAACCAGAATTTTGTGAGTCCCATCTACCAAGCTCCAGCCAGAGAACCTACAAGGGTAGGTGGACAAAGACCTTTCCCTCCCCTGCACTGAACCAGGGCAGGCTTGAGTTGGTTGACTCATCTCCTCGTCTTTTTGTTTATTTGTTTTTAAATGGTTATTTATTTTGAGAGAGAGAGAGAGAGAGAGAGAGAGAGAGAGAATCCCAAGCAGGCTCTGTGCTGTTGACCCAACATGGAGCTCAATCTCATGAAGGGTAAGATCACGACCTGAGCCCAAGTCAGTAGTCGGGCACCCAACCAACTAAGTCACCCAGGCACCCCTCCTTGTGTTTTTAGATTCATGCCATTGAGACACGTAATCACTGAAATCCTTGGACCCTGAGAATATTTAGATGATGGGCTCCCAGTGCCCATTGGTATGATATTTTTATTCTTGGGACTTGGGTATGTGGTTTCCACAGGGAGTAATATCTGTACCCTCCCTTTTGGAGCAATAGAATCACTCACTCCCCAGTCTCTTAGTTATGGATGTAAATTGTGAGCACATTATAATTAGCATAACGCCTGGAAAGGTATCTCATTATAATTTTTTAAAGTTCTATGCACAACTGTAAGCAAAATCAGAAATCACCATCGTGGGAGACGTGTGTTGGGGTATCGGCTGATACCGTGGTCATCAGGTTCATTGCCTAGCTCTGCTACTAAGTGAGTGGTCTTGGGCAGGCGACTCTGGCTCTCAGTTTCTTTGCCCAGAAGATGGCAATGACAATAATCCCTTCTCATCAGGTTGTTGTGAGAATCGAACAGATGAATAAACACAAAGCTGTCAACAACGGTGCCTGGCACAGAGAATGAACCCAGTGAATGTCCGCTCTCCTCAGCCCCTTCACACCATGCCTGGGGACCCAGATTTTCAGACATAATCCGCATAAAGGGGAATCTGCGGATTGAAACAATCCACAGCCTCCTTTCATTCAGTGCGGGCCGCCCTGGATGGAAGGAGAGCCGTGGCGCAAATCGCCTCCCTGACCAAACCTGAAAACCTCTCTCTCCTCCCCGGGGGTGTGTAAGGGCGAGTTGGGGTGAAGACAGCTACTCCCTCCCACTCCTGCATCTGAAAAAACAAGACTAGGAAAATCTACCCGAATGGTTTCTGACAGCCCTAGGAGTATGATAAAAGGCTTCTTTTTTCTTAAAAGAAAAATCACTTTTAATCACTCAGTGTCAGGAGCCGGGAACTTTCTGTTGTGAAATAACCCGAGCTCCCGCTTCCTTTGCTCCCCCTGCAGAGCCCCGGGTGGGAGGAGGCGAGGGCGTCTGGGCAGAGCCCTTGAAACGCAAGGGCAAGGGAGGGCCCGGAAGGTCCAGGGTTTCCTGATCTCCAGGGCTGCAGACGACAGCTGGGCTTTCCAGGAATTCGGTCCTGCAAAGCAGGGAGGGTCCTCATGTCTGTACTTGAGATTCCCAGTGTGCTGGCTCACCAGGTGCACCCCTGGCAAACCTCGTGGGGGGCAAAAGCTGGTTTCCCAGCCCAGTTTCCACCCTTTTCTCCCAGCACACCCCCCTCCGCCCCCACACACCCTCAGGTTCATCAGAGCCTGCTCTCTGGAGGCCCATTAATTCCAAAGCCTTCTTTCTAGAATGATGAACTCTTCAGAATCTGCATTGTTTTACTTTTTTTTTTTTTTAACGTTGATTTATTTTTGAGAGAGAGAGAGACAGAGTGTGAGCGGGAGAGGGGCAGAGAGAGAGGGAGACACAGAACCCGAAGGAGGCTCCAGGCTCCGAGCCGTCAGCACAGAGCCCGATGCGGGGCTGGAACCCATGAACGGCAAGATCATGACCTGAGCCGAAGTCAAAAGCTTAACCAACTGAGCCACCCAGGTGCCCCAGAATCTGCATTTTAAACGTATAAAAAAACCTTGAGGCCAAATGAGTGACTCCTTAATTGTGGAAGTTCAAGTCTCAGTGAACGTCCTCAAGTGCATTCCTTTGTTCTTGAGAAATACGTGCTCGTGATAGGGGATACGGAAAACGGAGCAAAGAAGTTTTCTATCAAGAAGAGTATTTGTGTTTTGATAGATTTCTTTCCAGCCTATTAATCTGTACTTTTTAAAAACCTTAATGACCTACTGAATATGCAGATTTTGTTCCTATCCAACATAGATCATAGTTATTTAGGAAGGACACTGGGGGAGAAGGGCTGGAACAAGAGGGATCCTTCTGGTGTCCAGAAGTCGTGCTGTAGTCAGCAGCTCCGTGCCCTGGACACCTGCCATCGTCCCTCCCCTTGTTCAAGGGAAAGCCCGGCAATAAGCAAAGTGGGGAGAAAAGAACTTGGCCATGGTACGTTTCCTGCCTCCTCTTCTTGTGCTTTGAGCCACTGGCCCCTTCTCAAAGGCCTTGGCTTTGTGGAATAGCGGCCACAACCCGTGACAAGCTGGGTGATAAATAGGATATTGATGGGCAATTACCTGACACCAAATAGCTCCATAAATCAATGCGCTAGAAGCTGGTACCACAGTCAAGGGCAGCTCTCAGTGAATGCAGGCCCCACAGCCCTGCGAGGTGACGACGGGGAGCAGAGGCAGGGCCCCTTTGGAGCACCTTTCGGAGAATGGAGATCTCCTACATGGGGAGCAGATGCCCCCCGCTCCCGCCACGCTGCGGCTGCCAGGTCAGGGTTCGTGCGGCCTCAGGAGGGGTTCCAGCCCAAATGGGGCTGAGTTCTCGCTTTGGTGCCTTCCCGCTACGGTCAGCTCCGTGATCTCTCGCGACCTTCTCCTGCATGGGGAGTTTAAAAATAATTAGCGGGTACCGGGGTGGCTCAGTCGGTTAAGCATCTGACTTCGGCTCAGGTCAGGATCTCACGGTCTGTGGGTTCGAGCCCTGTGTCGGAGTCTGTGCTGACGGCTCAGAGCCTGGAGCCTGCTCTGGATTCTGTGTCTCCCTCTCTGTCCCTTCCCCAGCGCCTGCTCTGTCTCTCCCTCTCTCTCAAAAATAAACAAACATTAAATTTTTTTTTTTTTGTAATTAGTGTTTCAGGATTTTGAAAGTAATACAGTCTCATTGTGGAGACTTGTTAAAAGGTTAGACAAATATATAAAGAAGCAACTGTCACTCACAGTCCCGTGACCAGGGGTAACTAACCTCTGTTAACATTTTGTCCCTTTACAGGCTTACAAAAAATGGTATACCCATAATCCTGGATGCTACAAAGCTGTGCATTTTCATCCTCTGGCCCCATTACCACCCATTCAAGGACAAAGCTTCCCTCCCCTCCCCACCAACCGGGGGCCAATTCATCTTTCCCTCGTTCAAATGGCGGGGAGTGCAAATGTCCGGCAACCACTCACTGTCTTGCCACAAGATGGCTCCAGAAGCTTCGAGCTGCCCTGATGCCTGACATGCTGAGTCCTCCCCGCTCAGTCTCATTCCAGACACTACAGGATGTGCCATACCACCCCCAAAATGTCCACCCAGGCAGAAAAGAACATTCCACTACAAAAAGAAGAAGGAGAAGAAGAGAGAGACAGAAAGAAAGAAAGAAAGAAAGAAAGAAAGAAAGAAAGAAAACGAAAAACTTGGAAATCTGATCTTAAAGATACACATTTTAGGCGCTCCAGGCGGAGACGTTTGCCAGAGAGAATGACAAGCCGCTCTCCTGACTGTCCCCGGGGAAAACCTTTACAGACTTCTCTCCAGTGGGGCTCCTTCCTAGGAGGAAAAGAAGCTCGAACAAAGGCTTTGCTCCCTCACTCCTACGGGAGTCATTCTTAGAAATAATAAATGAAGTCAGATTGAGAGACTTAATAAAGTCCTCTAATACAGTTATTTTGCAGTTAATGACTGAAGCTTTCTTTAAAGCCCCTTTGCAAAAACATTGCTGGAAATGAACACTCCTTGATGCCTCATCTTTCAGCCGGTATATGCAGACCAGTACAAGGCACGGATGTTTTTCACTTGCTGTGGGGATGTATCTCATTTCTCATAAGGTTCCTTATCCATTACAGCCTACGTGGAATTTACCCGTTGTGTTTCCGCAGTCACACAAGCGTGTCTAAATGAAAAACACACCTTCTCGGGCCCTCTGACAAAATCAATCCCTCAGCAGGAGAGTGAAAGCTTGTCTAGCTCTTGCATTGAAATGCACATTTGCATGCTAATTACCCAGAAAGCCCTCAAATTCACCGAGGTGTTATGGAAATGCTAAGTCGGAATTCTAGGAGCCCAGGAACAGGGAACGGTTTTGATGGAAACAACTGGAGTACAATTTAGGTTCAAAGTCATTTCTAGAATCCGCTTGAGTTGGATTCGTCGTGTCCAGATGAACCAGAGACCGGTCTCTCGAAGTTGGTTTGACCGTGAGCAGCAAACAGCTCACTTTTGTTTCTATGCCATTTACAGCCTAGGGACGTCTTTTCACTCAGGCTCCAAAGTCTGTGTGCCTGAATAGGAGAAAACTCAAACATCAAAACTCACAGACCGCTGCAAAGAAGCACTCAGTCACAGCTCCAAAGGTTCTGTTCGATGGCTGAAAATACATGGTTTTCAAATAGGGTGATAATTGAAAAGAATTATTCTCTGATTGAATAAAATGAAGCGACATCTATTCAGCAAAATCAATCTGCGAACACAATTTGAAAACTGCTTTCTTCCCCTGGAAACGACAAAGTGTTCATACATACAAATGAAAAGCAAAACGCTTTTTGGTTTTCTTAATTTTCTCCATTCTCTATATATTTGAGGGGAGTGGGAAACATTTTTCCTTCTCCCTTCTCGGGAGGATGCCCTGTTTCTTTTGTTTTGCCATTTGTTTTTCTTTCTGTTTTCCTTCTGGAAGGTTTTGAAACCCCCAAGAATGCCAAATAGAAGGGGACATTTTTCTTAAGTCTTTGGTGGTGTTTTATGCTCTGACTTGGTTTTCTACTTGTGCCAATGTCTCATCTCTTCGGAATGTTCTCTCACACACCAGTGGTGCAGAGGGGCAGCACCTCCCACATTCACCAAAAACTCCCTCCGGCAAGGCAGGGTCAGTGTGCCTGCCTTCCTAATCCTGAGTCCAAACCAGCCTCATAACTTGAATGGAGCACACAGGTTGCCCACTTTCTTAGTTCAAAATCTCTCTCTCAAAATTATTTGTGCTTTTAGGTCTTGAATTAAAATCATGCATTGGGACCCAAAAGACTCGTTCACCTTTTTGCATTGTTCTCCCAGAACCAGGGATCCTCAGTGGTGCGTGGGGGTGGAACAGTAACAAAGAGGGCAGGGTGTAGAAGCATGCAGTGTAGACAGTGTGTTATGGGTCTACACCGTGATATTTACTTAGCATGTTCCGAACACCAGTCAATAGTACACCGGGTTATTAAAACCTTTTTTTCTATACAAAATGAGGGGATTATGAGAAATCCAAGAAATAGTCTAGCAGTTATCTCTCCATGGTAAACATAATGTAATGGCAGCTATTTTCAGAGGCAGTTGACTCAGTTTCTCCCCAGGATACGAAGCTCCCCTGCCAAGATGAGTGTCAACCACACTGGTGATCGGAGGACTGTGCCTCCCTAACCAAAGCGGAACCTATCTTTCCTCTATACCGTCCTCCCCTCCTCCATCATTTAATTCATTCATAAAACAACTATGAAGAACCTGTTATCCAACAATCATACTAAAAATTCACCCAGAAAGGCTTCCACCGTCCTAGAAAATAGATCTGCTCCCGCTGACGAAGATTCTTTCCTTGACCAAACTTGGGACAGGATCCTCTGCTCCCTCTTTTAAGTAGGTCTCATCCTTGGACCTTGTCTTTGACCTGCCTCGTCCAGTTGTAGCAAAAAAGCCTGCCGAGTCGGTTTGGTAAGGATTCTCCCATCCTTGGTATTTTGCCTGCATCGAGCATCCCGTCAAATGGGTTTAGCAAGAATCCCTTCTTAAAAAGAAGACAATGGGTCCAAAATGGAGTTGCTTGTGCTAAGACTCACGTCACTAAACCTGTGAGAGTCTTCATTCTGTACAACTCCTTGGAGATTGTTTCTGTCTGCTAGATGGGATGCGGTGTGATTCATGGATCGTTGCATTAAGCCAATAAGCCAATAAGATCTTTAAAAGTTATGCAATTGAATTTTGCTTTTTACCACCCCCTACCCTTGATGTCTCTTCTTAGTGATTTGGCATCCATTGACCCCCCCCCCCCACTCTGTTCCTTGGCTATAAATCTCTAGCTGTCTTTACTGTATTTGGAGGTCAGCCTGATTTTCTCTCCCCTACCTCTCAGCGATAGCCTTGACACCTTGCAATAGTCCCGAATAAACCTTTTCTTATCCTTTTAACAAATGCCAGAATGATTTTTTCCTAGTAACCCAAATAGCTGAGTACTTAAAGCTTATTTAGACCTTATGTATATGAATAGTCCATTGATATTCTGTTTTTATTCTTTCTGAAAGAACTTCTATATATTACCTTCTGGCTGCACATATGCCATTGTTAAAGAAGGAAGTGACGTCAGGGCGCCTGGGTGGCTCAGTTGGTTAAGTGTCCGACTTTGGCTCAGGTCATGATCTCGCAGTTCGTGGGTTCAAGCCCCCACGTCAGGCTCTGTGCTGACAGCTCAGAGCCTGGGGCCTGCTTCAGATTCTGTGTCTCCCTCTTTCTCTGCCCCTTCCCCACTCACACTCTGTCTCTCTCTCTCTCAAAAATGAATAAACATTAAAAAATTTAAAAAAAGGAAGTGACGAGTCATAACATCTTTAAGGCAACCAAAGCGTGCCAGAGAAAATGAGTATTTCAAATCTACACTTGATAAAAGCCACTGCCCTAGTTAGACTCAATAATGACGAGAGATTTAAAGCTTGGAGAATTCCTAGAGACCATCTTGTTCAACCTTCTTATTTTACAGGGGAAAACTAAGACTCAGAGAAGCAAAGTGATTCGCTAAAGGTTTTTAAGAAGTTCCTGGCAATGCTCGTCGTGAATACAGGTCTCCACACTCCCAGGGAAGTTGGCTTTCCATTCCTGAGGGAGGTGAGAAACCCGACCAACTGGCCCCTCAAGAGCAAAGAAAATGTCTTCTTTTTTGTGGCCTCCACCAGATCCTGTCTCCAGGCCCCAGTCCCCTCCCCCAGGAGTCAGCCCAGCCCTGGGTGCCAAGAGAGTGTCGAATGCACCGCTGGTGAGGTCAGTGCTGGGCCCAAGTGCAAGGGTGAGGCTCTTGTCTACACTCTGCAGAGGACTCGTGTCTCACCTGTGAGATGAAAAGGCCGGACCAGGTCTTTCTGGCTTACCAAGCACTGTCACATGGGAGTCCACAGGACGGCCACAGACACCTGGGAGGCAGGTCCATCCACACCTAAGAGAAGCGAAGAGAGAACCTCAGATCGGGGAGGTTTTATGTTTTTTTTGTTTTTGTTTTTGTTTTTTAATTTTTTTTTAACGTTTATTATTTTTTTTTTTTTGAGATAGAGAGAGACAGAGCATGAAAGGGGGAGGGTCAGAGAGAGGCAGACACAGAATCTGAAACAGGCTCCAGGCTCTGAGCTGTCAGCACAGAGCCCGACACGGGGCTCGAACTCACGAACCGCGAGATCATGACCTGAGCCGAAGTCGGCTGCTTAACCGACTAAGCCACCCAGGCGCCCCTCGGGGAGGTTTTTACATAACCACTGAGTGTCACCTTTCTAAATCTTTTTACCACAATGATTCATGATAAACCCTCCTTATTCCATCACTGGTACAGGTAAAAAAATAATTTATAGTGATCATAGTTAGACTCCTAGGACTGTGTCCACATTATAGATTTCCCCAAGGAGTTCAAATAATCCAGAAATCAGGATGGATTCCCGGACTTGAGCAGTATCCCCAGGGACCCGCCACCTCCTTGGCAGAATCCCCTGGGGAATGTCCTGTCCTGGGACCCCTCCCTCCTCCTGGCAACTTCATGGGAATGCTCCCACTGTCTGGCCGAATCAGAAACTGGCTGATGTGAGGGCACTCTCGCGACGTGGGAAGAGAACGATTTCTCTCTGCCTGGAGTGTGTAAAACATGAACAGCATAGTGTAGAGTAGCTCTTAAATCATTTACATTTTCCCTTTTTATGATGCCATTGCAAATTAGCTATTTTTTGCATTTGTAATTAGAGGCTGGAACAGATGGGGAGGCCGTGGTTCAGGGAGATAAATTTGCAGCCATCCACTGGCTGCTGGGTACCCCTCGCTGTAAGTCATCCAAATGCCTCCCGGGAAGCCCGGGTGCCAGGACCTGGGCCTTGTTCCCCACCCCCACCTCCAGCAATCTCTTTCCCAGTTGGGGAGACTCCCGCTTGCCAGTTGTAACTTCTTCCCAGTTATCGAGGGGAAGGAAGCATCGAAAGTAGAAACTACAGGGGCGCCTGGCTCAGTAGTTAAATTGGTTAAGCGTCCGACTTCAGCTCAGGTCATGATCTCATGGTTTGCAGGTTCGAGCCCCGCATCGGGCTCTGGGCTGACAGCTCAGAGACGGGAGCCTGCTTCGGATTCTGTGTCTCCCTCTGTTTCTGCCCTTCTCCCTGCTCATGCTCTGTCTGTCTCTCTCTCTCTCAAAAATAAATAAACATTTAAAAAAAAGAATAGTTTTGGGGCTCCTGGGTGGCTGGTTGAGCATCCGACTTCGGCTCAGGTCATGATCTCACACTCCATGAGTTTGAGCCCCGCGTCGGGCTCTGTGCTGACAGCTCAGAGCCTGGAACCTGCTTTGGATTCTGTGTCTCCCTCTCTCTCTCTCTCTCTCTCTCTCTCTCTGCCCCTCCCCTGTTCACACTCTGTCTCTCTCTCTCTCTGTCTCCAAACTAAACATTAAAAAATAT